AGGCTGTGCTACGCTTGCTGACTCAAAAACTGGAAATTACTTCCCTAATTACCAAAGCTTTTGCTTTTAAAAGGAGCAGGAACGGGGAGGGAGTGCCGGCTGGGTGCTCGGTAGCCGTTATGGAAATACGGTGGCCTGTCGATCACAGGTATCCTAGGCTGCCTGGGCAGGATAATCGTCAGTAGGGTCACCTTTGTGTTAACAGCACAGGCCGGACATTGACCGGGATGCACAAGAACGAGCGGCAGCCTTGCTCTAACTGACAGGGCTGTGCTTTGGGTTAGGAGGCATCGCCACCCGCCAGTGTCCGAGTGCCTGACTGTAAGGCTGACTGCGTTTCTTGTGTTTCTGTTACAGATGGTGGCTCCCTAGGTGTGGTGTGGCAACCGGAGCGTGATCATGGCAGCCAAGGCTTGTAGCCCCTCTGAAGGCGGCCTTCTGCCTTCGTCAGTACGCTTAGTCCGTGCTCACTTGAATGACTCTGATAAGCTAAGTAGATCCTACCCCTGGGCCAGCAAAAGCAGGAAAGGTCAGCTCTCTGAACTCTGCCGGCTTAGAGCGTCTCTGTCTGGTGAGCACAGCATTTTGGGATTGAGTTCACGTGTCATCAGCGAAGGTGATGTTTCAGATGGTTTCAGATCTTCCTCCTCCCCTGCCCCAAACCTATTGCGATAGCAAATATGTAGCTGCCAGAAAGCGCTGGCTCAATGAGCAGCTGAGCCGTAGGTTACTGCAGGCTGGGTGAGTTTACAGGGGACGCGTTGCTGGATAGATGTTCTGCGCTCGTACTTGTCCTTGAGCAACCTTTACTGGCTGCCCTTGAACCAACCTGCCACCTTCTATTATTATCTAAAACATGAAAAATTTCCAAATGAGGAGAAAGATGTTGTTACACCGGATTTTGTTAGGAGGGGAAGAACTTTGCAGCTTACAATGTGTCCAGATACGGGTCTCCTTGTTTTATCATGGTGAGCATATTTGTACTGTATGCGGTGCGTAAATGCAGAGATGTCCTTGTGATGAGTTGTTCGTAATGCTTCTGCTAAACCTTCAAAGCTGCTTACTGTTTTGGGAGTGGAACAATGGCGTTTGGCTGCTGATGCCACTTCCCAGGGAAATGTTTTTTTTACAGGCAGAACTTTGAAAATTTTAGTAGAATCATTTGGCGTTGTGTAACATAAAACATTGGTGTGGGCACGCCATATTTCAGTGTCACGTCTCATGAACAGTTAATAAACTGACTTCTGACTAATGCATTGTTTAATAAGGGTTTGAACACTTACTGTAATTATATTTAATAATGGTTTCAGTTTTAACTTGAGAGATTTCAAAACCTTTTAAACTCTGCTAACTTAAATGAAAAATAAAAGTTGAGTAGTCTGGTTGAATCTTATTGATGTTGACAATTTTTTTCTAGCCTATGGACTGAGTTTAATTGTTCCAGTGGATTCAAAAAGATATGTTTATTAGAATTGTTTCTGTTTTCTTTAAGTTTTATTGATTTTATTTTCTTGTAATTTCTTTAAAAATCTAGAAGCTTATATTGTGGGATTACTTGACAGTTGCTTGAGCTGACAACTAATTTTTTTATTCATTTCTCGAATATTCCAGTAGACTGTTATAGCTACATAGCCGATCTTTATCTTCTCACAGGGGAGAAATGGAGCTCTTACTGTTTGTCTTCACTGGCAGCTCATAACATTTGTACCAGCAAAACTGGCAACTCGTGGGCTCAGTGGGATTCTGCCTCTCTCTCCACTTCCATTGGAAGTTCTGCTTCTTGCTCCTTTTTGCATGCCCTCGCTGCGGAGGAATCCAGCCAGCACCTTCCAACAGCTGCACGCAATCCAAACAAAGCCATCTTCACTGTGGACGTCAACACAACGGAGGTATTTGCGGTAGTAACTGCTAAACTAAGCAGGCCGTAACTGGTATAAGTTGTGTGACATCAGACAGGCTAAAATGCCTGTTATTTGTACGTATCTGCAGACAATCAGAGCATCATGAAGGCATTTTATAGTCTGCTCAAGCTCAGTACTCTTCTAAAGACTGACAACATGTTTATTTCCATTGCAGGTTGTAGTTAGCAAAATATAGAAGACAATAGTAGAAGCATGGATGTCTTGAGTCTTTTTTTCAAACAGAAAAAGGGAATAAAGAAGAATGCAGCTGTGATGTGGCATGAGGGAGGAAAGGAAAAGCAGAATGTGCTTCAGCCTTCTGTCTATTAAGTGCCAAACCTGGCATGGATTTGTGGAGGCACAAGGTCTCTATCTGACCCAGTAAATATGCCTTTTGCATTGGGAGGGAGAGAATTTCTCTGCTTCTGTCCTGAGAGTAAACATTAATATAGAATTGAGTACGGAAAACTTTAAAGAGCTGTGCCATTTTTAGCTTGAACTGATAGTTCAGTCTTACCCATCTTAAAGGCATTTAATATTGACTTGGTCTGTAGCACAGGCTTAAGCACATCACTGACCGGTGTGATTATTGTATGCCTGCAGGTGTGGATAAAATTGCTTGCAAATACAACTTTGTCATTTTTGCCTCCATGGATGTAATTATTTAAATGACACAAGAGGCTGGAGTGGGTAGGCAGTTAAAAGAAAGCAGGACACCTAAAAGGAAAGCAGTGTCTCAAACCCTCTTAACCAAGAAGTTGTGTGGGCAAGGGATGTGCTAGAATAAGAAGCTTTAGTGAACTGGTTTTGAAGATTTCAGAATTTAAAAGAACCACTCCATTTCCACCAAGAGGAAGGGATATTATAAGACATTAAAGCAACAACCTGAGGAGATGATGACCTATTAACAAAACTTACAGCTTTTATTCTTGTTTTGGGGGGATTTTTTTTTCCACTTTTTTAGATCCTAGTGGCTAATGACAAAGCCTGCAAGCTGCTTGGGTGCAGTAGTCAGGAACTCATTGGTCAAAAGCTGTCCCGCTTGATATCCAAATCCAGTCAAGAGGTATGGGAAGCTGTGGGAGAAGAGTACATAGAAACTGATGAATGTTCATCGGTGTTTTCAGGAACTGTGGTACGTGAAACATTCAAGCAAGTATTCCCCACCATAGACAGTGTTTTTGCAGGCTTTGATTTGGGATTTTTTGGGGGGGCATGGTGGTGGTGACATTTTCAATATAATTTCCTGATATATTTAACTTTGTGGGCATTTGGCAATTATGTGATTTGTAGGACTGTTTTGTTTAAAAGTTTGCAGATGTGGGAATTCAAAGGGCAAAAGATGGTTTGGGAGGCACTCACGAGAGCCTTGCAGCTGCCAACATGTATAGTCATGATGACTTGACCAAATCAGAACTTAAATGACATTAGATTTTAAAAATAAATCAATATATATTGCTTAACATGGAAAAACCTATTATGGAAAAGTTCCCAGTTGTCTAGCCTTTTAAAACATTTTTAAAATCATCTTAAATTGCATTGTGCATATTATAAAGTTACAAGTCAGTCAAATACTGTAAAATGTCTGTGCCAAAACACCCTAGTTGGTGCAAAAGAGTGGAATTGATGTTTTGTCTATATGGGGTTGTTCATAAGAGAACTGCATGAGAAATACCTCAAAACTGTTTTCTTTTGCTGCTGTTGTGAGCTGTCACTAGAAAATATTTGGAAAATGAGCTCATATTCTTCCTGGTGTGTTATTTTTGTACTGAAATTGTCAGTGTCTCAGAGCTTGACCTTCCTGAATCTTCAATTAGATGGGGGGGGGGGGAACCCCTAAGTTTGATTCAGTGAAATCCAGAATGAAAATTAAATGTCTGATAAAGGCACTAATTCTAAGCCACAGCCATTCCAAGTACTTTGTAGGAGTCACTGTGTAATTCATAAACCCATTCTGTCAAGATCATGTAAAAATGATAAGAGGCTTGATATAAATACTGCAGGTTTTAAGATAAATAAACGTTTTCTGATTTGAGAAGAATCTCATCCCATAAGAATTTAAACTGCTATTTTTGCAGCTTAAAGTATGAACTATGATACTAGTGTGGACTGTTCATTAGCACCATGGGACGTCTCTAAAATAAGGCATCTCTGAAAGGCACTTCTCATCGAAGGCAAGGTATTAGACTGGCACATTATTATGCAGAAGGAAATGCTTTTAGCCTTCTGAAGCTGGGAAAGAAGGTACAAAAGCAACAGTGACGTTTTGTGTGTGATCAGTGAATTATTTGCAAACCTTTTTATCTCTATATTAAATCTGTGTTTCTTCCAATTAAAAACTAGTAAGTAGTCAAGAAACAATGTTTTTCTAACAATGGCGGGGAGATATCTTGGCTCAATATCTTATTTTTGTTTGAAATTCTTGCTAAGTAACCACAGTCTTAGTAAGTTATGACTACATCTCTGAATCCTATGTAAAGGTGGATGTTATAGGCCGACTCAAAAAGAAGATCCCTGTCTCGGTCTGGCTGAGGCGAATAAAAAGCGAGGACAACCAGTGTTGTGTGGTTGTGCTGGAACCAGTGGAAAGACTTTCAGCTTCTGTTTCCTTCAGGGTTGACGTGAGTGTTTTCCTAACAACCAAATGAGACCGCGCTGTGTGAGACGTGTGCAAATGTAACTGTTTGTGAACATGAAGTGTGTACGTAGCACTGGCTGAAACTGGGATTGCACGTGCAGGACCTGTGCGTATTTCTCCCGTGAGGCTCACCTCGACATGTTTGACAAGTCACCTTGAAATACACTGTCTGCCCGCTGGGGACATCTTAGACTTGAACAGTGACGGTTTGGCAGGGGTTTGGTTTTTCATGGCAGGGATGCCCTTGTGAAGGGATCAGCCTGCAGAGGAGAAGTTCTGCGAGGAGTGTTGGACTCCCCTGCTTCTCCCTGATGGCAAAGGGCAGGCTTTATGCACGGTAATGTCGGAGAAGTTTTGCATTATGCTGTGCCTGCTTTGACTGAGGTAGTTGTATCCACAAAGAGACTGCAGAATGAAACTTCCTGCCATTTGCTTAGATGTTTGCAGAAACTGTTAAAGGATTGAGTGGACTGTGGCTAAAATGCTAAAATTAAAATAGTCCTGTAAATTTTCTTCCCAAGGGAGAGATTACATCATGTGACCTCCTTTTTGCCCATCTCCATGGATACCCAACATTGGAAGAAGTAGTTGGGCTCCACATAAAGGACCTGATTCCTTCTGTGCAGATCCCTCCTCTAGGCAAAAAAATCCCAAAGGTATAGTATAAGCACCAACCACATTCTTCCATACGCTTCCCATTTGGAACATAC